TGCCGACGATGTGCTTGTTCCCATCCGCGGCCCCAGCGCTCCGGACCCCTTCCCCCGGGGGGCAGTGCTTCGTCACGGATCCGGTGTTGCTGGCCCGGGAGCCCGAGAAGGGGCCACGAGACCGAAATCGAGCAGAGAGGCCGGGATCGAAGGAATCTCGAGAGGCCTCCCAGATGGGGCCCGAGTCGATAAAGTCGGAGGATCGCGCCGCATCGCCAATGCGACCACGCCTGCTCGGGCTCCACTCGGGAGGCCGAGCCGGTGCCGTCGGAGATCTGTCTGGACGCCCGAAATGGTTACGGAAAGAATGGGTACAATGCCCAACAACACATCTTGTCCCAAGCCAACAGCGGCCGCTGCTGGGCAGGCGGTCTCTGCCTCAAATGGACTCAGGCCGCGGCGGCGCAGACAGCGAGTCCTGCTCAGAATGAGCAGGAACTGCTGGTGGGCACTGTACCCATTCTTTCAGTACCCATTTCGTTCGTGCAGACTCTGGGGACGAGTGTCCCCCAGGGTCCGACACGTGAAACCCCTTGAGTTCTTGAATACTTTTCTGGTGCTCGAAATTCGTTCTGGTGATCAAGGCTAAAGTAGGTTGGACCATCATAAATCTGGGGGTGCCATCTGCGGCGCTCCTCCGCCCGGGCCCTCCGCGGCAGCGGCTCGAACGAGAGGATGCGGGCGTCCTCCCCCGCGGTGAGCAGCCGGTCGCCCACCAGCGCCAGGCCCGCGAGGGGCAGCGTGTTCTGCCGCTCCGTCGCGCCGAGCTCCGCGCTCAGGAATCGGAGGGGCAGCGACATGGGTCACCTGAGGAGGAGGAGGAGGAGGAGGAGGAGGAGGAGGACGAGGAGAAGGGGGAGGAGGAGGAGGAGGGGGAGGAGGAGGAAGAGAAGGAGGAGGGGAAGAAGGAGGAGGAGGAGGGGCAGGAGGAGGAGGAGGGGCAGGCGGAGGACTGACCGACTCAGCACTTGCGATCCATGGCCTGCTCCACGGCTCGACGATGCAACAGAGCGACATGACATGTGTGCTGGATCTGTGAAGCTCAGGTGGCTATAAGAAGAGCCTGCCTGGCAGCCTCGCTGGGGGACTCCTCTGGCTGACGGTGGGACCCCTTCAGGGAAAACCGTGGGGCCCGCCTGCAACACCGTCACATTCTGGCTGCTCCTGCTCCGTGGGGGGGTCGAGAGGCCTCCTCGGCTGCAAATCAAATGAAAAACGTCACTCCACCTGCGGTCCATCAGCCGTTTCGACCGAGGGTTCAGAGGCAGGGAGAGGCGGGACACCAGAGGGAGAGGAGGAGGAGCTCGGCGCGACGGAGGGGGAGTGTGTTCTGCATCTCCGTCGCGTCCTGCTCTCCGCTGAGGAATCTGGTTGGCACCGACATCTGGGGACACCAAAAGGTACCGATACCGCTACTCCCCTGACCTCTGCTGGGGTGCGTTCTGACCAGGATTTCGAGTCGAATCCAGCGGTGGCGACGACGGAGGCCCAGGAGGCCCAAAAAGGGGAAAAATGAGCAGAGGGTAGAGGTATGGGTACCTTTTTCTCCTCTGAATATCGGTCACCTGCCCCAGCTGGCACCCTAGACCCCCTCGGGTCATCAAGAAGCCAAAGCAAGATTTGTTCGTCAAATTTCGGCCTTTGCAGGCCTTTACTGGCCCTCGGATCCGTCAAACAACGACTCGAGACAGGAAACCGATCCTGCTTGAAAAAAAAAATGGAATTGAGGGGCCTGGGACCTCAGATCGCCTCGCGTCAGGAAGCTCTGAGATCCTGGCGCTGCAATCTTGGCACGACGGGCGATGATGGCTTGCTGCGAGCCCTGGAACCCCACGGATCGATCTGGCTCAGAAAGTGCCGCAGAAAAATAAATTCTAGGGCTGCGGTCGAGACGTCGGTCGCCTGCCCCACATGGCATCCCCAAATGAGAGACGAAAACAAACATGTCTTACGCACGATGGCATAACAGCCTTACGCGGCGGCCAATACGGGTCGCCAGCACGGCACGCTGCATTGGAAACGAGGGCGCTTACGCGCGGCCTTACGCAGGCGGCCTACGCGAATGTGCGCGCAGTCGAAACCGTTTGTATGCGTCGCTCAGATGGCCCCGCGTCGAGAGAAGAACACATCGGAGTTCATGTTGGACGGTTTCGGCTTCTGGGAGTCCTGACTGGGCCAAAAAAACGACTCGGCATGAAGATCCACCCATGGAAAGGGAGCAGGCATCGCTCACCCGAGCAGCCCGGCAGGCGTTCAAGCAGGTGGGTGGGGGGTGGCGGGTAGGGCATGCCGCCCCACGCACAGCCCGCGGACGGCGGGCGGGCGGGCGGGCGGGTCCCTCAAAACTGCCAAACATCGGCTACCCGACCGACAAAAATCAAAGAGGCTTACGCCGAGAGGACGTGGCATTCCTACGCGACTGCATACGCGGGCCGCCAGCGCGGCACACCGCGCGGAGAAGGGGGCGCTGACGCGCGACGAGGCAGAGGAAGTCCTGGTGGAAGCTGGCCCTGCACCCCAGGGCTGCCCCCGGGACCAGCTTTGCGTCACGTGTGTGAAGGCAGGGGGGCCAGTGAGAGCCCTGGGAGCCCGAACACGGCGAGCGAAAACTGCAGGCCCCCGTTCCTCCAGGACCCGTTTCCTTCACGCTGGCTCCAGCCTCCGACCTCGTTGCAGGGAATGCCAGAGCGCTTCGTGCAGAGCGAGGTAAGGCACCAATGACATGCAAGTACCTTGCTGGTCTCCGAGGCCAAGATCCTACAGTTTCCGCCGATGGCATTGCTTGGGGCCGAATGGAGGCAACGGCACTACCCAGATGTTCCGTGGGCCGTCAGCCAGCCCCCTCACTGGTATCCGCAACCCTCGACCCACGACCCGCCCGCGACTCACCCGCGACCCCCCCCGCGCCCCCCCCTCACTGATATCCGCAACAGCGGGGTGCTTTGTATTTATCCCAACGTGGGCGCGGTTCGCTGGCAGATTACACCAGAGAACAACCCCAACCAACAGATGTGCGTTTGCTTGTTGCAGGTGGTCAACGCCTTCTCCCCCCTCGCTCTCTCTGTCAGCTCAACTCTGCTGTACACTCTCTGAGTGTAGTCTCTGCTCTTTACTGGCTTACTGTATATCTTGAAAATTAAACTGATGTCGCATTTGTTCTGTCTGATCTGTCTCTCTACTCCGTGACTTCCCATCTCTCTCTCTCTCTCTCTCTCTCTCTCCTTCTCTCCGTGCCACTACTTTGTTTTCATACTAAACCTTCGTTACTCGACTTGCCCTCTACTACTTATGCGGGCTATCTGGTATACCCAACTCTGATCGACAATCCTCTGATGTGCATTTTCCCTACTCTGTACTATCTCCTACCCCATTCTGACCGTGGTGGCAAGGACTCTGGTACGATGATGAGGACGATGATGATGACGATGACGATGATGGTGACGATGATGATGCTGATGATGGTGATTATGCTGATGATGATCACGACGATGATGCTGACGAAGTTTGATAATAATAATGCTGATTATGGTGACGACGATGATGATGAGGATGATGATGCTGATGGTGATGCTGATGATGATGACAATGATGATGATGACGATGCTGATGACGATGATGATGCTGTTGCAGATGCTGATGATATTGCTTATGATGATGCTGCTGGTGATGATGATGCTGACGATGACGAGGATGATAATGATGCTGCTGATGCTGATGCTGATGCTGATGATGATGATGATGATGATGATGATGATGATGATGATGATGTCGGCCATGACGATGACGATTAGGATGATGCTGATGATGATGATTATGATGATGATGCTTATGCCGAGAATGATGCTGAAAATGCTGATGAACCCAGGCGCCCACTGAAATCAGCCCAGAACCCTGAACCGGGACCTACAAACCCGGCCGCCAACCGAAATCGTCCCAGCACTCTCGCGGGAACGCGGATCTGGGAACCCGCCCGCTTACGGAGATCGGCCCAATACTCTCGACGATCCCGTCGGTGTCCGCAAGGCGCCAACCCCTTCAGCGCAAGCACGAATAATCCCAGGGACCTAGAACAGGGGTTCCGAAAGACGAACTCGCGACACCTGAAAATTTTGCCCCCCTCCCCTCAACGCCGGCCTCTCTCAAGGGGGGCGTTCTGACCATGATTCCGAGGCGGATCCAGCTGGGGCGACCACGACCCCTCCAGGACGTCCTGAAAGTGAGGAACGAGTAGTTGGATACCCTGGGAATGCAAATCCTGGCACCGAGATGGAGACAGCATCCCGACAGCAAACGATGGTGCGAGTGATCGGCGTCTGCTGCTGGACAGCCGACGCTCGCCAATAAAAAAATCTGCGTCCGCACTGGTGCCGACAACGAATCCCGTCGAAGATGACTAGGACATCCTTTTTGCTGGCTGCCAAGCATGCCCACATCGTCCCCATCCGTTTCATCCTTACGGCACTTCAATGCCGACCTCTGAGAAGGCCGCCCCCCGCCTCGCCCCCACTGTGGGCGCGCCGTTACGGCACGTTTCCTCCATGTTCGGGTTCCAACATCACCTCCTGGACCTGTCCCCGGGAAGCTTGAGGGGAAGCTTGACGGGAGTCCGGCCGCGCAGACGAGGACGTTCCAGGTGGCCCAAGAGCATGACACAACAAAAACTAGCCTGGCGAAGGGCCCAGTCCATTGTAAACGAGCGGCGGTTATCAACAAGACCGCTCCACGACATGCGGGCGCAGACCACTAAAGTGTTCGGTGGAGCGCCCAACGGGGCCACGCAACGTATGAGCTGTTTGCCGAAATTTGGCGGGGCCACATGAGGTCACGAAACGTGGAATGGGTCCGCCGAAATGAGGCGGGACCGCATGCGGACGTAGCCACGGGGGCCTTCGGTGGAATTCATGTGGGGCCATGAAGCACTGGATGATAATGATGACGACGACGGCGATGTTGATGATGCAGATACTGATGCGTATGATGATGATGATGATGATGATGATGATGATGATGACGATGATGACGATGCTGATGATGGATAATGGTGATGGTGAAGGTGATGATGATGATGATGCTGATGATGATACTGATTTGGGGGAGGAGAAAGAGGCGGGAGATGATGAGGAGAACGCGGAAGATGATGGCAATGATGAGGCCGATGCTGATCATGTTGATATGTGGGGTCCCTCTTTTTTGGCGTCGCGCAATCTGGAAGTGCGAAGTTCAAGAAAGGGGAGCCTGGCAAGAGCAAGCACCCCGCGAGCACTCGGCTTTCCTCGGCCACCAGCCCCGGGCCGCGAGCTCCGCACCCACTGCCTGCACTGGCGCCAGGGAAATTGAGACCACTCGCGGGATGCCGGGGGCCCCACAGACACCAGGAACACGGAAAGCGTGTGAACCCCCACGGGCCCAACACAGAGAGAATTGTCGCATTCCCTTTCAATGGCTTGCCGATTTTTTTTACGCACTTCAGTATACAGTTTAAAAATCCAAAGTCCCTCTCAATTTGCTTCCAGCGCGAGGAAGCTGACTGAATTCTATCCTTAGAGCGCGGGAGCAGTGTGAGGACTACTGTACTGGAGGCAGCGTGAGACAAGTATGGAACGAACTGACCACCAAAGGCAACTGCTCCCGAGCTTGAGGCGCTGGCATGTCACACAGAAGTTGATCCGCCTCAAGGCTCAAGCATCGACGTTTGAGAAGTTTCTGACTGAATCCATATTGTTAGCCTGGACGTCGGAGAATTCTGTCCTGAACCTCATCCTGGAGGACCTGGTACGATGGCAGCACGGTTGCTGTTGTCTAGCGCT